CAGCTTCTGCCCAGTGCGCATGCGCGAGAAGCGCTGCGCTTTGTGATTGGTCCGGCGGCTTCTGGGATCTGTCATGTGTCCCAGGTGCCGCCTTACCATTCACAAAGAGCACCACTTCTTGCGCATGCGCACTTGGCACCCGGCTGTCACGCACACTACAGAAGCCGGGAAGGCAGCGCGCCGCTGGATAGAGGAACAGGTAAGGTCCCACTGCAGAGCTGAGCGGCCGGCCCGGTATTCTGACACGGCGGCGGTGGAAATACCGGACCGGCCGCTCCATATTCGCTCCAGAAGGCGCACTGACATTTTCCCCCCTTTTTTTGGGGGAAAAAAGTGCGTCTTATGGAGCGAAAAATACGGTATATGATATCGCTGTGACCGTCAAGAGCTGGAGAATTTATTTTGGGTTGTTCTTTGGTGGTAGGTTATGGTAGTAACAAGAACCACACAGCTAAAAATTAAAAAAAAAATGCTTTTTTATAATTATTTTGGGACAGTTTTCCTTTGATAAAAAAAAAAACAATGAGGAGATATCCATTACCATTTACCACCAAATGAAAGCCCAATTTATCCTGAAAAAAACAAGTTATAATCCACCTGGGTGTACAAAGTAGTTGTGATGATATGGACGGTTTTACTAACACGTCAAATTTGCAAAATTGTGCTTAGGCATTTAGATTTGTTTTACCCTTAGGCGTGAAGGGGTTAAAGAATGTTTTCACTACTAAAATACTGCATTACTTCATAATATAACTCACGCCGTATTTTAGTAACTGAGCGATATCTTACCATATACTCAGATGCGAAAAGATACCGCTCAGTAAATTGTCCCTGTTGGAAGTTCATGGTTGAACCTTCGGTAGGTTTGAATGTTCAAATTTGAACCAAACAGGGGGGTGTTCAGCCCCTCACTACTCACCATCAAGCCTTTTTTGGAGTATCCCATGCCCTACCCCTTCTCTTGTTACAAGTTTGTGAGCAAAAAAACACAAAAAGAAAACCCCTAGACTGTTTATTGGCAGGGGGGTGTTCTGCCCATCACTACTGTCCAATGCTCTCTGAAAAGTGCTGTGACTGGAATGAGAGAGCCTGAGATTGGTACAGCGGGATTTCTGCAGATCCTGACCTGGAGAGAAGAACGGATGAATGGCTCCTGGGGTTTGCAGCATGTAGATGCTAACACAGGAAGAAATTGTCTGGATAGCAGAGTGGTGGGATATAAGCAGGGGTGGACTGACAACTCATGGGGCCCCCGGACAATAGGGAAACATGGGGCCCCTGTGTCCTCGCCCACAATCAAACCACTCCCAAAAAAGCCTATGAAAAGGTACCAGGGGTATCTCATGGGGCCCCCTACTGACCTCGGGCAGTGCCCGAGTGTTCGAATGGTCAGTCCTGCCCCTGGATGTAAGGCAGGACCGCCAGAACAGAGCCTTCCCGCTGTACAGGGGGGGACTGACAACTCATGGGGCCCCCCGGGCAATAGGGGATCATGGGGCCCCTGTGTCCTTGCCCAAACTCAAAAAAGCCTATGAAAAAGGTACCAGGGGCATCTCATGGGGCCCCCTACTGACCCCAGGCCCTCAGGCAGTGCCCGAGTTTCCAAATGGTCAGGGCCGCTGTACTGATCATCTCCTCAGGCTCTCTGCTTCCAGTTCTTCCAGCTAGGCCAGATAGGGATAGCCAAACGGCCAGATTTGGCCCTGGGGCCACAATTTGCCCATATTTGATATATATAGAGAGAGAGGAGAGAGCTCAAGGCAAACCTTTACTCATTGTAAGAAAGTATACCTGGAGTCAGTATTTAGTAATAGGTTTTTTAAAGCTTAAGTGCAATCAAAATAAAAAAAACCCACAATAACACTGTTCAACACATTTTTATTTTTTTGCCAGTTTTGGAAACAAAAGGATCCATTTTCTTAATGAATTTCACATTCTGAGTTCAAATATAACAATGAAATTTGTCAATTGGCTCTAGTTTTTCTGTAAACGGAAAGTTTTCTACTATAGGCGTAATGACTACATAATGCACAATAATTATATAGATAGATGTTTTTTCCACAAATATAAAGCAAGTGATATTGACTACATAACAAAGCCTAAATGGCATAATATATTGCATAGGATTACCAAGAAAAATTATAGCCATAAGCTAAGTTGAATCATTTTTAATACTTAGGATTCTCACTAGTTTTGTCTTCAGTTTTGTGTCGGTTTTGCTTCTCTTGGCTTTTCTCTTGTATTCGAGGGGGCTATCTCTTACAACTGCACGTGACTACACGGTTCCCCTCACTTGACTCAACCACGAAGGATTCTGGTGCTTTAGGAATTGGTAGCCCCTCTCCATGAGGAACTGGACGTATTGCCGATGGAATATTTGGATAGTGCACAGATAACTTTTTCTTCTTATTTAGCCCTTTTTACAATTGGAGGCACCATACAAAAGTAACAATTACTAACATGATCTGTTGGCTCTCTCCAAATCATTGGCACACAGCGAAAGGCATAGATGCCTTTTTTCCATTCAACCATTGCTCCAGTGCCGTCCCACAAGAATTGCAGCATATATGTGGTGCCCAGCTCTTGTCCTGGTCTCCATCTTGCAGCCAAAATACAAGTTGGGCTTTCTTAAGATTCCTGTTATCCTCCTTTTTTGAGAGATAAAAGCACCGCAGCAGAAATTATCTGCTTTATTCACACAAGTTCGAGGCATTTGAGTAGCCTATATAGCATAAAAGAAATGTAAAGACGGAGTCGAACTACAATCAGCTACAATACTGCAGCTTTTATGCAGTGAAGTGATGCAATTGTAATATTGCATCATCTCAGTATACATGCAATTTTCTATTGGTCACCAGTATCAATTAGCAATATGCAGCTGAAGTTGCATCATAATTTTGAATGGCTTACGTCATTAGATGGGTGAATATATCATGGAAACTAGAGCCAATCAACATTTTTTAGGGTCATTTTCGTTTTCAGCACCCCATAATTATGTAAGATTAGCTAATTTTATGCCCAAAACTTTTTACCTGTTGAACAGTGTAATCAGCACAGGGACATAATTTACAATCAGTAGGAAGTGTTCCCTGTTCTGATGCCCTTTCTGTTAGCCAAAATCCTTCTCCAGTAATGTCCCCCCCCCAGGGGTCAATGGCTGTGCAGACAGCTGCGAATAGTCATTATAGTGAACAGGGGCGGACTGACAACTCATGGGGCCCCCGGGCAATAGGGGATCATGGGGCCCCTGTGTCCTTGCCCAAACTCAAAAAAGCCTATGAAAAAGGTACCAGGGGGGAATCTCATGGGGCCCCCTACTGACCCGGGCCCTCGGGCAGTGCCCGAGTTTCCAAATGGTCAGTCCACCCCTGATAGTGAATGGGCTCTGTGATCCTACCACTGTCATTCATACTGGTGCTTGTTGCCGGTGCTATGTAGCTGTATTTATTGGGTGGGGGGTTTTGGTGTATATAGTGTAGTTCAGCTTATTGAATTTAGTGTTTGTATTTTTATTTATATTTATTTCAGGTACTTATATAGCGCTGTCAATGTACGCAGCACTTTACATATATATTGTACATTCACATCAGTCCCTAACCCTCAAGGGGCGTACAATCTAAGGTCCCTAACTTACATTCATACATACACATACTAGGGACAATTTAGACAGGATCCAATTCACCTACCAGCATGTCTTTGGAGAGTGGGAGGAAACCAGGGTACCCAGCCAGAGAAAACCCATGCAGGCACAGGGAGAACATGCACACTCCAGTCCGGTGGTGCCGTGGTTGGAATTTGAACCAACGACCCTAATACCAGCAGGTGGAAGTGCGTACCATTTAGCCCCTGTGCTGAGCTTTTTTTGGGTATTTGTCACAAGACAGAATAGGGCAGCCCATTTACTTGAATACATGACAAACATGCCAAAGAGTCTCATTTATGCAAACGCAGCTAATGCCGGCCATAGACGGTTCGAAAATCGGCCGATTTTTCGTCCGAAAGATTAATCGGCCGATTGTCGCACTGTTAGTGGGTTAATTCGTCGGCCGTTTTTCGCGTTTTCTCCACTTTTGGATTATCGGTCATGTTGCAAAATTCGTGGAAAGCGACCGATTTTTCGTGTCAATGATGGTCAAATTGTATGATTGTTTTTACGAAAAAAATATGCGCATGAGACGTGACCTGTTATATGTCATGATTTTTATGACTTGGTCGGTCGATTTTCGTAATAATTGGTGGTTACGTCGGTTTAATGAACGACCGATGTTTCGTTTATCGGACGAAAAAACGGCCAGTTTTCGAGCCGTCTATGGCCTGCATAAACAGATGTTTTTTAACCTACGTTTTCCAGCAGTCAGTTTCATCGTTCAGAAGTGTCCTGTGTACATGGAGCCTAAGATAGCTCACGCAGACGAAGGGAGAACATGCAAACTCCAGGCAGGAGATGCCGTGGTTGGGATTCAAACCAATGACCCTAGTACTGCCAGGTAGAAGTGCTAACCATTTAGGCACTGTGCTACCTATTATGTGTGCATATTTGATTGTCATAACATAGCAATGGACCATTTTTTGGCACAGGTCCAGGACAGTGGTCTTCAAACTGTGGCCCATGGACTGGATGTGGCCTTTGCTTGCCTTTATTTGGCTTTTGGGGTACTATTCCACCACTGATACGAGACACTATTTTTCACAATAACACCAACAATGAGACACTATTATTCCAGCTAACTCCAACAATGGGATGCTACTCCTCCCACCGACACCAACAATGTGGCACTATTGCTTCCACTGCCACCAAGAATAGGGCACTATTCCTACCACCAGCAGGAACACAAGGGCACCATCCTTCCCATTGACACCAATGTTGAGGCAATATTCCTCCCATTGACACCAATAATGGGGCACTATTGCTTCCACTGACATCAATGATGGGGCACTATTCCTCCTACTAATACCAATGATGGGGAATTGTTTGCTTCCACTGACGCCAGGACATTTTCTTCTCCCACTGGTTACTAGGGCACTATTCCTACCACCAGCAGGAACAAAGGGGCTCCATCTTTCCCATTGACACCATCGATGGGGCACTATTCCTCCCATTGACACCAACAATGGGGCACTATCGCTTCCACTGACACCAAGAATAGGGTGCTATTCCTTCCACCAACATCAACAATGGGGCGCTATTCCTCCTACTGACATCAATGTTGAGACACTTTTCCTCTTAATGACACCAATAATGGGGCACTACTGCTTCCACTGACTCCAAGAATAGGGCGCCATTACTCCCACCTACAGCAACACTAGTCATGACATCAATGTTGAGGCACTTTTCCTCCCATTGACAACAACGTTGAGGCACTATTCCTCCCATTGACACCAACAATGGGGCACTATTCCTCCCACTGACACCAACGATGGAGCACAATGTCTTCCAGCAATAACTCATATGGGCCAATATTCTGCAGGCTCTATGTATTTTTTTTTTTCTCCCACTCACCACCAAGCCGGAGACATTGTTTCCTGACCACAATCTGCCCCCCACCCCAAAGTTTGTAGGACAATAAACTGGTCCTTTTGTTTAGAAGTTTGGAGAGCTTCCATAACCCTCAGAAGTCATTTGAAGGCCATTGCACCTTTCAGATCCGCCAACAATCACCTTCAATTCCCCTTCCTCATTGGTTCCAATGCGTTTAGCTAAAATGGCAAATTTCAGGGGAAATAACAACTCTCAATGGCACTCATTCTTGACCGCCATCTGTGGCTTGTTTTTATCCCTTTGATCTCCATCACACATTACATCCAGTACCTTATTGACTAAGAGAGGGGATGGTCACAAAGTACATCACATCTCCTGGGCAGTCAAAGGGTTAGAATTTTTACGCTGAACTCTCATTTAAAACATTTAGACTGGTGTAACATGTGGCCTGCCTAGATCTTTGGAGCATAGCATGGCGTGCAAAAAATTCTGACAACTCCACGCTTCTGTACTGGAATAAGTGGCATCACATGGTTGACAGCACAAGGTGTGCTGGGTGACAGTCACCCGGACTTATTAATGGGTGATTGGCCAGATGGAGCATCAACAAATCTCCATCTGGAAGCCACTACCTTACTGTAGACTGCACTCTATTAATATGTATATTCTACCCGTAATTCATCGCGTCTGTTCTGGATGATATTCATAAACAGATTTAGCAAATGACTTTTATTCCTGTTCTAAATCTCCAGGCCCTGCTCACATCTGCATCTCTTAGGTGCGGTGCATTGTGTGCATGATGCGCATTTTAAATAGGTTTTAGAAGTATTTGATTCACACCGATCAGCCATAACATTATGAACACTGACATTAAACCCTTGGCGCCGGCGCCTCCCGGCCCTTTAAGGGTTTCAGAAGCCGGGAAGCGGGGCGGGGTTTTAAGGTCATGTGACCGCCGTGATACACCGTCACGGCAGTCACATGATTGGGAAAGGTCCCGATCGAAAGAGGAGATCGGGACCTTTCCGTGAGTACCGGACATGTGCGCTGGGAGCACGCAGGGCGTGCGCTCTCAGCACATATGTTTTTCTTAATTGCACACAAATGTGCGGTCGGCCCTTTAAGGGTTTCAGAAGCCGGGAGGCAGGGCGGGGTTTTAAGGACATGTGACCGCCGTGATTCGCCGTCACGGCAGTCACATGATCGGGAAAGGTCCCGATCGAAAGAGGAGATCGGGACCTTTCCGTGAGTACCGGACATGTGTGCTGGGAGCGTGCAGGGTGTGCGCTCTCAGCACATATGTTTTTCTTAAATGCACACAACTGTGTGGCTGCTTGGCATCAAGGCTCAGACGCTGGGAGACCGCACATTTGCGTGCGGCCGGCGCAAAGAGGTTATAGTGAATAACAATGATTATTGTGTTACAATGGCATTTGAAAGTGAATGGGATATATTAGGAAGCAAGTGAACATGTTGTCTCTGAAGATGATGTGTTGAAAGCAGAAAAAATGGGCAAGCATTAGGATTAGAGCAAGGGCCAAATTAAAGGAATTCCTATAAGGCGACTGGTGCATAGATGGGCGCACACGCACAACATCGCTAATAGAAATGAGCATAGGCACATCACTCATAGAAATGAGCATACACGCATTCCTACGCATGCTCGTAGGAGTGTGGCCACAGTTTCATGCACCAGAAAGCCTATTTAAAGGAAGCTGTTGCTCACTGTCAGTGCTGACTGGTCTTCAGCTTACCTGTGTCCTGAGTGTATACTATATATGATTTCCGTTGATGACCCGGTCAGGGGCGGACTGATAACTCATGGGGCCCCCGGACAATACGGGATCATGGGGCCCCTGTGTCCTTGCCCACACTCAAAGAACACCCACAAAAGCCTATAAAAAAGGTACCAGGGGCATTTCATGGGGCCCCTTACTGACCCCCTGGCCCTCGGGCAATGCCTGAGTGCTCGAATGGTCAGTCCGCCCCTGGACCCAGCTTGCTACTGACCTGATTCTGGATTCTGTTTGTACCTTTGGCAGTGGCGCCCTTAGGGGGGTGCGGGCCGCACTGGGTGACACCATCACAGGGGGTGCAGGATGTCTGCACAGTGACAGCTGCCCCCGCCCCGGTTTAGCAGTAAAATAAGTATCCCCTGAAGCAACTGCACATGTGCCAGTTTCAGGCCGAAGAAGCCGGCTTTTTGCTAAAGTCGGAGATCGGCTTCTTAGGCCTGAAACCAGCACATGCGCAATTGTTTCAGGGGATATATGTCTTCAAGGGATACTAATTTTATTGCTACACCAGCACCGCTCCTTCCTCTCTTGAGGGGTGACCCCATGTGCTACTGCACCGGGTGACACCAACCCTAGGGACGCCTCTGACCTTTTGTCATCCGTTCCTGACCTCAGCCTTACTCCTGACCATGCTTTTGCCTATGATTTGGTACCTTGTTGCCTGCTTGCTACTGACCTCAGCTACCCATGTGACCTTGCTCCTGCTTCCGACTTGTATTCACACAAGTTCTGAGTGTCTACTTCGGCTGTCCTTCATAACCGCTCCAGTCGTCACAGCGTGTTCCTGCCTAAAGCCTGCTGAGAGCTTCGACCAGCCACACTTTCAGAACCAGCAGTACATGCAGAATGTCCCCATTACCTCAGCTGGTCCAATGTGCATCACATCTGCTTCTAACTTGATATCCTGCTTGACTTCTCAAGCCTGCACCTCCAGCTGCAAGTTCTGCTATCAACACCTGCCGGCACTCATGTTCCTCCTATCCCTCGGCACCATCTGTTCCACCTTCAGTGGGGCCTGGGCTGGAGGTACAAGAGAGGCCAACCTTGTCAATTCCAACTCCAACCAGGTACATGACAGCCAATTGCAATGTCTAGACGACTGGGTCAGAGCAACTCCAAAACTGCAGCTCTTGTGGGAAGTTCCCAGTGTGCAGTGGTCATGACCGACCAAGAGTGGTCAAAAGAAGGTGAAACCATCAAACCTGTTACAAGGTCATGGGCAGTCAAGGCAGTGAGCATTAGTGATTGTGGGTGGTGGATGGTGGGTGATTGAGTGTGGTGTGCAGTGGGTGGTGGCGATGGGGGGGGGGGGGCGTGGATGGCTGGTGGTGATTGTGGTGGTGGCGTGGTGTCGATGGGGGGGGCAGATGGCGGGTGATTGAGCGTTGGGCGGTGGTAGGTGGCGATGGGGTGGATGGCGGGTGAATGCGTGTTGGTGGCAGTGGGTGGTGGCGATGGGGAGGGTGGATGGCGGGTGATTGATTGTTGGTGGCGATGGGGGTGGATGGTGGGTGATTGAGTGTTGGTGGCGGTGGGTGGTGGCAACGGGGGGGTAGATGACGGGTGATTGAGTGTTGGTGGTGGTGGGTGGTGGTGACGAGGTGGGTGGGGTGGATGGCGGGTGATTGAGTGTTGGCGGCCGAGGGTGGTGGCGATGGGGGGGTGCCGGGGATTGAGTGTTGGTGACGTGGCCGCAGGTGGTGGCGACAGGGGGGGGAGGGGGATGGCGGGTGATTGAGTGTTGGTGGCAGTGGGTGGTGGCAACGGGGGGGATAGATGACGGGTGATTGAGTGTTGGTGGGGTGGGTGGTGGTGAGGTGGGGGGGGTGGGGTGGATGGTGGGGTGATTGAGTGTTGGCGGCTGAGGGTGGTGGCGGGGGGGGGGGGGGGGTGGTGGGTGATTGTGGTGTTGGTGGGTGGTGGGTGGGTGGTGGGTGGGGTGGATGGCGGGTGATTGAGTGTTGGCGGCCGAGGATGGTGGCGATTCGGGGGGGGGGCGGGTGATTGAGTGTTGGTGGGAGGCGCTGCTGGTGAGGGGCGCACGATTCTTGTGTTGCCTAGGGCAGCACAAGAAATTAATACACTTCTGTATATACCTACACCAGTGCGCCGCAACTGTGTGCAAGCACAGCGGCCTCATTCACTTGAATGGGTCACATTCACCTGCCAGAAGCAACAGGTGGTATAATTCTTGCTGCAGCCATAGGAAAATGTATTTATGTATTTATTTATTATTTATTTAAGGTACTCATATAGCGCCGTCAATTTATGCAGCACTTTACATATATATTGTACATTCACATCAGTCCCTAACCCTCCAGGGGTGTACAATCTAAGGTCCCTAACTTACATTCATACATACACATACTAGGGACAATTTGGACAGGAGCCAATTCACCTACCAGCATGTCTTTGGAAAGGTACAGATCTATTGGCAGGATCAACAGGTCATAATGACATGAGGGGTCTGCTTGTTTTAATGCCATTGACAGACCTCATCACGTGCCTTTTTATTTATTTAGTCCGTAGTTCCACTTTACCTGCAGTAATAAGTCTCTTTATTCTTTGTGGTTGTGTTCATGTTTAACAAGTTGCATTTCTCTTTCAGCTCCCCGCTGCGTCTGTTAGCGCTGTGAGGATCAGTCCCGCTACATAAAAAGATTTCTTCTACTTGGAAAGAATACCTGCAGGGGGTCATAACATCTCCCAATCCTTAAGATTTGAAGATATGTGATCTACTTCCATCTGGTAACACTCGCCCAGAATCCCAATCGCCTGCTGTAATAAAGAACGTGTTCTCTGCGTTGAACTGATGTACACCTTAAATGGGTTCTTCACCAACCACTCCCCCACAATGTCTTAATGGATTAGTCCACCAAAAACTGACATTTTTCATTTTTGGTGCAAGCACCAAAATAAACCCTTACAGTAGCTGGCCTCAGGTGATACACAGAGATGTAATAAGTCCTCCTACATAAGTTGTACCTGTTTATCTGCAGTTTTTCTTCGCCTCAGCCATTGAAAGTGCAGAATTTATACAGCTTCTCTGAGCTCTCACAAAGCAAGGGTCAAGGAGCTGAAATTACACACTGCAGAGCTCAGTTAAGAGAGCTCTGAGAGCTGATTGGAGGGAAGAGACACACCCTCTTTACACAGCGCACTGGAGCAGAGCTGAGGCTGTCAATCACAGGCACTGTGCTGGAGCCCGCCAAACACACAAAAACATTCAGGCAAACAGGGAAGGGCTGCAAATGCCCCGTAACCATGTGCAATGTGTTTGTCAGCAAAAATGGAGTTCAAACAGGTGGTGAGAGAAGCAAATCACCTGGAGTGTCACACTGGATGTGAATTGGCATGCAATTTGCATGCCATGCGACTTGCAAATCATATGCATGGTGACACTGTACTACTTGTG